CCAGCCCCCACAACTCCCTCAGCCCCCCACACAAAGAATCCAAAAAAGAATTCAAAAAAGCTCCCTACATACATACATACCTCAAAACCATCAAAATCCAATCTAAACCTAATTCCCACCAACAAAAACATCAGCTATCTATCAATTCATCTATCTATCAACTACACAGTTTAATTCTTTATCTATTAGAGTAACCACGTATCCACCTACTTACTTCCCTCACTCTAATCTATGACCCTAGAATCCTCAAGACCAAGGAGAATATAGGAAAGGAAAGGAAGTGTAAAAGTGTTTGACGTCTGCTTCCTGCGGCTTCCTGCGAGGAAGCGGGATTTCCCCTAGAATAACTGCGCCCTAAAATAACCACGCCTCGTCTATCCTCGCTTACTGTAAGAACGAATAAAAAAGAAGAAAAAAAGAAACGGGAAAACTGGACTGGACTGGACTGGACGAAATGGAAAGAACAAACCCCCCCACACACACGCCCTCCAAGATCCTAACCCAAAGTCCAAAACTAAGCAAGGCAGAACGCAAGATCAAAATACAACCATCATCCATCATTTAGTCACCACACCAACCACACTCCCGTACCAACCTATACCAAAAGAACATCTCAATCTACAAGTAACCTTACCCAACAATACCACCAGGTCAGACAAGATACTCAGTGCAAGAAAGTGAAAAGAAAGGGGGCTTGAATATGCCTATCAGGCAAAGAAGAAATATCATCTTGAACCATCTTAATCAATTATCGACAACCCAAAAGATGATTCCTTCCTTCCTTCCTTATACACCTACACCTGCAACCATTCCCATTCCCATCCCATTCCCAGCCCATCAAATCCCAACCCATCAAATCCCAACCCATCAAATCCCAACCCATCAAATCCCTTCCCTTCCCCCAGCCATGTATAGATACCATGGAGAAAAGAGAAAACCCCCTTCGAAAACCTCAAAAATAGTTCCCAGCACTGTAATAGCGACAGTTATATGCACGTCCATTTCCCATCCAAAAATCCTCAAAGACCCTAGAACATCCCATAGAAAACGAAAGAAGAAAACGGGGTGCAAGCGATGCCAAGTTCAGCTCCCGACTTCTTGTACCAACTTTGTGCAATTCCATTCTCATCGCAAAAGAAAAGAAAAAGAGGCTCAAAAGAAACTCTCAACCGAAAAAAGCAAAAGACGCGAGTCATCTCTGGTATCCCCTCCACTGACACAAAAACCAAAGTCAAAACCCCCGCCCCCATGAAACAGAATATGCTCCGGAAACTCCGAGATAATGTCGTGGAACTCGTCAAAGGGCGAACAAAAAAAAGGTAAGAATGACGAACAAAGTGACCACCCCCCAAAAAAGAACACCGACCCCTGAGTAAGAAACCCCCTAGTTCCTTTTAACGCCAACGATAAAACAACCCCCCAAATTTTCACACAAACCACTATTCGGACAAGAAGAGTGTTTCTGATCCGGCTGAGAAACGGATATATATACTTTTGAGAACCTGTTCCTTCCTCTTGGCATTCTGTTATGGGGCCTGTCGTACTTGTTGAATAGTAATGTACCATATCGTGTTTGGCATTGATAATTCACGAATTACCGCCCCTTCGTCGACGACCTCTGCTCGGTCCTTCTGGGCGCTGCGAGAGGACATCTCGAAGTTGTGGGTCGTCCTTATCTTTATCAACATGATGGACCCGTACATGCCTATTCGTGATTAGATGTTGTCAAGATGCAGTCAAAATATTTCGTTAATGCGATATGGAAAGACATACCTTTGCAAATTATCTGGTCTTGGATATTTATGTTCCCTACCAGGGCAAAATGGGCACACGTAACCAGGTGAGTCGTGTACCAGGCCATGCCGTATCATTTCATTTTTCCTCTTGAATCCCTTTCCACCCTCACTCCTGGGACAGCCCTTAACACTACAGTAGTGAGGTCGGTTGGAGGAATGCACATTGGCATGAGAATTCAAGAGATACTGGTTGTCCGTAAGTCTTTATAGAAGGAAAAGAATAAAAGGAATGTCACCTGAGTTTGAAAAGGCTGGGCATTACAACCAGGGTAAGTACAATGGAATCCTCCAATCTGCGGATTTGTGATGCCATCAATACTCATGCGATCAATTGCAGGAGTGGCTGACGCATCTGTACTTGGTGTCTCTGTATTACTGCTGCTATAGTCCGCTGCGCTCGAGTATTGGATACCATCTGATTGTGTTTGTGAAGGTCGGCGATGACTATTGTATGGATAAAAGGCAGCCCGACCAGGAGATGGCAACTCTCGTCGAAAGGTATCATTTGGAGACTTGGGAGGGGAACCATGATTTGATACAGCGGAAAATAGTGGTGGTTGTCGAGCAGGAGGGGACTGCACTGGTGGTAATGGTTCATGAGCAATACTCTTGAGAGAATCGGAGAGTGATGGAAGGGTCGGCTTAACCACTCTAATTCCATTTGAAAGAGCTGGACTGGGTGAATGATGTCGAATTGGTGGTAATTCCTCGGTCACTGACGTCCTCCTATCCAAACCACTCACCCCCCCATCAGATGAACCATGACCATTTGAGTTTGCCACAAAAATCAAAGGTATGGTTGGCCTCCTCTCCACTGGCCTCGCCTTCTCTGTCGACTCCTTCTCCGGCGGAACTTCCGTGGATAACTTTTCATTCTTCACCTCGACTAACTTTGGCGGCGGCGGCGATATCGACCCCAATACGTTCATTGCTTTGGCCGCAACCAAAGCAAGGTCATTACTTTCTGCCTCGCCCTTTTCCGACGCGTCCTTCTCCGATCCCGTTTGCCCTTCTGCTGTACATTCCTCCGACTTGTCGTCCGCTGTATTTATACACACGACCGTACCATTCTGGGCTGCCTCGTCCGTGTCATTCTCATCCGCGGCGGCCAACACCTCCGCTCCTGCTTGTTGCGCAACATCAATATTTCCATTGCCCATCATACGCACCAGACCAACATCGCTCTTACTGGCAGTTGGCTTGGAGATCTTGCGACCGGGGGATCCGGACGAGGACACCGGACTCAGAGCTGGAGGTTGAGGGACCATATATGGCGGCGTTGAGGAGGGTTGAAAGTTGACTGTGACAGCGTTCATCTGGGGACTGCTGGGGCCACCAACATCGTCCGAATCGTAATATGCGTCGGAAGGTGGAACGTGAGCGTGATGATGATGGTTCTCGACTTCAGTCATAATTGGAACCAAAGGCCATCGGGGTTACCAACTCAACTGACAAATGGCACGACTAGGAAGCTAGGAAGCAGAGTCGGATAATAGCATATCAGCCAACGGTACCATGCGACAAATGTTGAGGAAAACAATCTATCAGGAGTCTTTGCCGTGTGCCGGGAGCAGCAGCAGTGGTGGAGAAGTGGTTACGTGCTTTACCAGTGCAGCACAGGATAGGACAGTGGTTGTGCTGCGTCTGGCTGAGGACCAGACGAGAAAAAGGCGGGGATCTAGCAAGGTTTGAGGGGGTCTTTTTCCTGGTCGGGGGGGTTGCGAGAGAGAGAGAGGCTGAGCAGTCCGTTGCCAGGGTATCTCGGTAACTCATGCGCCGTTCGTGGCCAGAAATTTTGGCCGGGGGCTGC